CTGAGGGTCACTGTCCACACAATGTGGACCTCCCACAGCGACAGCCAGCAGCCCCCACTGGAGCCAGAACCAGGCTGGGGAGCTCAGTGATCGGATCCTGTGCAGAGCCCACAGAAATGAACCCATGGCCTCAAGGAAGAACTGAATTCACTGTCCTCTGCTGAGGAAGCCAAAGACAGGATAGCACGTGTATTCGATTATGAAGAAGACCTCATTCTTCACAGATTAGCAAGTAAAAAGGGACTTACATAATTAACATGGCTCGACCCTCATCACAAAAGAGATGTTTTACGCTGTCCACTGGGAGGCATGCTGGCTTCATCCCAGAACTACCCGCTTTTCATGTGATTTATTCCTAAGCTCCAGAGCTGTTAGAATAATAAAGCAAAATCATAGTGTGAGCTCTCTGAATAAAAGTTTCTAAATTTAAGTGCCTATGGATAGAGATGTTCCAGAGGTGTTATATATTCAAAATTACTATTTTTATGTGCTCCTGGTATTTAAAACGCAAAGACTGTGGCTTTAAAAGAATGCGTGCAAAGCAAATTAGAGGGGGGAGGGTATAGCTCATGCTTAGCATGTACAAGTTCCTGGGTTCAATCCCCAGTACCTCCTCTAAAAATAAATAAATAGACCTAATTATCCCCCAGAAATAATGTTTTTAAAAAGCACAGTAGAGTTACCCAAAAAAAGGGTAAGGAAAATTTAAACATCAGAATTGTTACAGAAGAACTAATGGAATTCCAAGATATTATAGGAATTTGAAGGAAACTTAGCAGCATATAATTCATTGTCCTAAGGATTATTTAATGGAAAATAGTATTGAATCTGAGAGAGGACTGTTTAGGAGTGATCTGCAACACCAACACTGATTGATGTCAAAGTAGAAGTAATCTTAAAAGATGATTGGCTACTGGCTTCTGTATGTAGTCATGCCAGATCCATTGTGTAGCTTACCGATGAACGCTGTGACCTGGTCCCCAGAAAATCTGACAGGACTGACTCCAGAGGGCCCTGGTGTCTCCTCTCTGCTGTCAGACAGTAGCTGAGCCAGGATTTGAACCTAGAACTGGGTATGATGATCCTGCAGATTCATTTATTTTTCGCACTTTTTTTTCCTGAATTTGTATTCTCTCCAGTGCTGCGTGTGGCCTGGAATCAATGGACTGTCTTACTGTTGCCTCATTTTCAAAGCCACACTGGGGCCACTGCAGAATTTTGATATGTGGGTCAAATCTGCAGAACACCTATTTTTTGGATTTTGATAATCTGTAGATAGATCTCACTCCAGTTTTAACAATTTTCTTGTTGTTCTAACAAACGGGAAAATTTTTTTTTCTGATCCAGAATCCAGTCCAGGATCTCATGTTGCATTTAGTTGTCAAGAATCTTTTTATTTTAATTGAAGTGTAGTTGACTTACAATATTGTGCTAGTTTCAAGTGTACAGCAACGTGGTATTAGATGTTTCAGATTATTATATATATAAATAATATATATTTCAGATTGTCTCCCCTCTAGGTTATCACAAGATACTGAATGTAGTTCCCTGTGCTGTTCAGTAAATCCTTGTTGCTTATCTGTTTTACTTACAGTAGTTTGTATCGGTTAATCCTGTACTCCTAATTTATCCCTGCACCTCTCTTTTCCCTATGGTAACCGTAAGTTTTATTTTCTATGTCTGTGAGTCTGTTTCTATTTTGTATATAGATTCATTTATATTATTTTTTAAGATTCCACATATAGGTGATATATTTGTCTCTCTGACTTACTTTGCTTAGTATAATATTCTCTAGGTCCATCCATGTTGCTACAAATGGCAATATTTTAATTCTTTTTTCATGGCTGTGAAATAATATTCCATTATATTAGATGTGTGTGTGTACATATATATACACATATGTATATATTGTGTGTGTGTACATATATATACACATATGTATATATATATATATGTATATATACATATGTGTATATATATGTACACACACACACACACACCAAACACATCTTCTTAAGCCAGTCGTCTGTTGATGGACACTTGGGTTGTTTCCATGTCTTGCTTATTGTAAATAGTGCTGCTATGAATATTGGGGGTACATGCATCTTTTCGAATTAGAGTTTTTATCTTTTCCAGATACAGGCCCAGGAATGGGATTGCTGGATCATATGGTAGCTCTGTCTTTAGTTTTTTAAGCAACTTCCGTACTGTTTTCTATAGTGGCTGTACCAATTTACATACCCACCAACAGTGTGAAAGGATTCCCTCTTCACACCCTCTCCAGCGTTTGTTATTTGTTGACTTTTTAATGATGGCCATTCTGACCTATGTGAGGTGATACCTCATTGTAGTTTTGATTTGCATTCCTCTAATTAGCGACGTTGAACATCTCTTCATGTGCTCATTGGCCATCTGCATGTCTTCTTTGGAGAAATGTCTACTTAGGTCTTCTGTTCATTTTTTGTTTGGGTTGTTTGTTTTTTTGATATTGAGTTGTATGAGTTATTTGTATATTTTGAATATTAACCCCTTGTCAGTGGCATCATGTGCAGATATTTTCTCCCAGTCTGTAGGTTGTCTTATTTTGTTGTTGGTTTCCTTTACTGTGCAAAAGATTTTAAGTTTGATTAGGTCTCATTTGTTCACTTTTACTTTTATTTCTTTTGCCTTGGGAGACTGGCCTAAGAAAATATTGCTGACTTATGTCTGAGAATGTTTTGCCTATGTTCCCTTCTAGGAGTTTTATAGTGTCATGTCTTACATTTAGGTGTTTAAACCATTTGGAGTTTATTCTTGTATATGGTGTGAGGGAGTGTTTTAATTTCATTGATTTACATGCAACTGTCCAGCTTTCTGAACACCACTTGTTGAAAGATTGTCTTTTTTCCATTGTATATTCTTGCTTCCTTTGTTGCAGATCGATTGACCGTGGGTGTGTAGGTTTATTTCTGGGCTCTCTGTTCTGTTCTACTGATCGATATGTCTGTTTTTGTGCCAATAGCATACAGTTTTGATTACTGTATCTTTGTAGTATCTGAAGTCTGGAAGGGTTATGCCTCCAGCTTTGTTCTTTTTCCTCAGGATTGCTTTGGCAATTCTGGGTCTTTGGTGATTCCGTATAAATTTTAGGACTATTCAAGTTCTGTGAAAAATGTCCTGGGTAATTTGATAGGGATTGCATTAAATCTATAGCTTGCTTTGGGTAGGATGGCCATTTTAACAGTATTAATTCTTCCAGTCCAAGAGCATGGGATATCTTTCCATTTCTTGGAATCATCCTGAGTTTTCTTTATCAATGTTATAGTTTCCAATGTATTGGTTTTTCACCTCCTTGGTTAAGTTTATTTGTAGGGGTTTTTTTCGATGAGGTTTTAAATGGGATTTTTTTTTTAACCTTCTGATATTTCATTGTTAGCATAAAGAAATGCAACAGATTTTGTTACATTAATCTTGTATCCTGCTGCCTTGCTGAATTCATTTATACGTTCTAATAGTTTTTGCATAGAGTCATTATGGTTCTCTGTGTAGAGTATCATGTCATCTGCAGATGGTGACAGCCTCAGATGCAGCTCCAAGCTGCGGTGTGGGGTGGGCAAACCAGAGCACTCCTGCTGGGAAGTGAACGGATGCCCTACTCCTCCCAGGGGCTGTCCACTCAAGACGTGCGTTTCTGTGGCATCACCCATTGTGGATGCCAGGCCCACCACTGCTGGACCCACCCCCACCATATGTGAGGAAAAAATAGGCCCCGTAGACCATATCCCAGGCCCTCTGGGCTGTCTGCGCAACTAGACCAAGTCCTCTCCTGGGCGGACCCCTGAGATTCAGCCCCTAGCCGCCGTTGATACTGGCAGCGCCCCCTGACTTTTGGACCGGGAAGTGCAGGCACAAGGCCCTGCGGCAGCCAAGTGCGCATGTGCGGATCTCTGCAGCTAGCAAGTCGGCACATGCGCACGCCTCCCAGCGGAGTCAGGCCCCTCCAGCCCCTCTGCCTGTCCCAGTGGACCTCCGGGGAGACAGGGGGCTCCCCTGGGTGAGGGGCCTGCCTTTGTGGACCTTCCCGCCTTCCTTCACCATCCCTCCTAGGGACGCTGTCCCATCCTGATGCCTTTTTCTTTTTTTTTTTTTACCCATCCTACACAGTTATGTAGAGATCTTTTTTGCAGCTTTGATTGTGTAAGAGGTCTTCTGCCAGTTTCCAGTTGGTTTTCTGTGGGAATTGTTCCACGCGTCAGTGTATTTTTGATACGCTTGGTGCTGGGAGGCGAGCTCCTCGGCCTCCTACTCCACCGTCTTGATCCTCTGTGTCCTGAGTCTTTAGTCTCTTAATGGTAATTCCTGGGTATTTCTTTTTTCTTACATCACCTTGGTATTTTGAAGACTACAAGCCAAGTTGTACAAGTTACGTTGTTTCTAGTTGGGTTTGTGTTACTGGAGCCAGGTTATGAACTTGGTGATTGCAAGCAGTCACTGGAGGGAGACCACTGGAATTCAACTCTGATCCCACCATTTCCTGGTCCTGCAACGCCTGGCACCTTCTGTGCCTCCGCTCCTTCCTCCTAAGTGAGGGACATGTGAGAAATCTCAGGAATGGTTAGCTTTTACCATCCTCACCCGCAGAAGAAATATTTATGGGATGTCGTGAGACTTAACTGAGAGAATGTAAAGTGCCCGTCCTACGTACTCCATAAATTTTAATTCATTGAGTTTAGAAATAGAATGGGGTTTTAAAACCTTCTACTTCTCAGGAAGGAAGGTTGTATTTCTGTGCTGCTTTGTGTGGAAGGAGCGGCGTCACCCGCGCTGCGGAACCGCCGTGTGAGGTTTTTCTGTCTAGAAAGGGGTCTCGTTGCGGTCGGAGCTCGGCATTTCCCATGCAGCCCAGATCTCGCGACACTGACGCTTTGAGCCGCGTTGATGCCTTTCTTGACTTCTCTCAAAGGTCTAGGCTGTCTCGCGTGTCGCCTCCTAGGGTCGCTCGTGGAAGGGGGATCCCTCCTTGCAGCCCGCGGGGCCGTGCCCGCGAGGGGTGAGGTCTTTGCTGTTGAAAGCAGTTGAGTTTATTATTCATTCAAGTTAAGTGGCTGCCTGACCTTTTATGACATGTGCGTTTTTATGGAGAACGTTTGGCCAGACATTACGCACTCAGTCATTATGTCGTCAAAGACATCCTCCGGGCTGAGCAGGGAATGGGCCCCGGCTTCGGTTCACAGAGGTGCGTGGGCCACCCGCCCTGTCCTGTTCCTGCATCAAATGCGCCAGGAGGAGGAGGGCCGTTAGTGGTAACAGCAAACATACCAGGGAGGGTTTCCTGGCAGCACCACGTGTGGGCCTGTAAGTGCTTTTGGTCCCACGTCTCCCAGATGAGGAAACTGAAGCACAGACTCACTAACACACGAAGGTCACAGTGGTGATTTTAAGGGGCCGCCCTTGCCGGCCAGCTGCAGAGCCCAGCCCTCACCCCCCGGCACACCGATGCCTGAGCCAAGCAGGGTCCCTGCCAGAGGTGGGGGCTGAGGTCAGGGACCAGTGACAGAAGGGCTGGAGGAGCCCCATCTGACTTTCTCGTGGGTCAGTACCTACCTGCCCCCTCCGGTAGAGGAGTGTCCCTCCTGCCCCCATTTTGGTTTTTATCATCTTTGTCGTTTGCAGGGTGGCCTGGCCTGCTTAGCATGCTTAGCAGAGCAGCAGGAAGTGCGCTGAGTGGCTGGTGCCAGTTGACTTTTTGGAGTTTTACCAAAGATTTAGAAGTCCTATTTCTCCCCGACTGAAAAGAGGAAAAATGTTTTTATGCAGTTAACTTGTGAGAGAAATCTGGAAACCTTAGGACCAAGGAAAGTCATTTGAGAATGAAGGAATAGTATGTGTCTGAAGCTCGAGGCCTGAGGCTCTTACAGATGCATCAAGAAAAAAACTGCATTTCCAATTAAGTGAAATCACCAAAGACGACTGTAAGAAAGGACTGCAAATGGAGAAATATGCATAGCAATTTCCTGTATGTGATTACATCAGATTAGATGTCTTATCTCTAAAATAAGGGTAAGTCAATGGAAAAATAAAAATAATGCCAACAGTTTGTCGAGGTTGCCGGGTCCTGGAAGCCAGCATTTCACATTACTGGAGTCTCTTTCTTTTGCATGTCTAAAAGGCTTACAGCAGAACTGGTCCAGTCATCTCTTGGGTTTTTCTACATGGTGGGAAACACGGCTTACCCTGTGATGGGGAAAAGGATGGTTTTCTTAAAGTTTAAGAAAACAATCTGAGGCAGAAATCCTTTCATTAAAAGCACAGGTACTCTGCACGTGTTTGGTCTCCAGGTAGCATCATCCAGCCTCACTGCCTCTTTCCTAAGAGGAAGGACATGTTGCTCCTTCCACGCCGGGGTTGGCTGCCCTGCTTCTGCCACCCAGTGCCTTATCTCCGGATTCTTTCTTTCAGGTCTCTGTCCTGGGATGCCCTGACCCAGTGGTGCACGAGATTGCCTATCAATATGGAAGGAACGTGGGCATCGCTTTCCAGGTTGGTCCTCGGCTTGGTCAGCGGGCAGCCTGCTGGTGCGGTGGGACGGGCAGCAGGGACGCTGGGGGGGTGGTGCCCGCGACAACCCTTTCTCCCTCCTGCCAGCTGATAGATGACGTCCTGGACTTCACCTCGTGTTCTGACCAGATGGGCAAACCAACATCGGCCGACCTGAAGCTCGGCTTAGCCACCGGCCCTGTCTTATTTGCTTGTCAGCAGGTAGGTTTTATGAACTCTCTGGATGCGCTGCCAGGTAGCCCTGCAGAACCAGTTCCTTCCGGGCTCAGCGGGCGGGCAGGTCTCGCAGGAGATGGAGAAGCGTCTGTAAGAGGGCACAGGGACCGGGGTGTCCAGGCCAGTCATTGTGCCTCTGCGATCCACCTGTGTCCTCTGTAACATTGAGGAGACAGCTGCCTCCTGGGGTCGTTGTGAGGATTAACTGAGAGAATATTCGTGGAGAGACTATGTAAACTAAGAGCGGTGTGCTAAATTTAAGGAGGCGTCAAGAGTGCTTCCGTGTATTTGGGGCACTGACAGGGTGGCGGGTTTCCACATCTTGATTGTAGGACAGGACTTTGAGTGTGCCTCAGAGCCCGTTAAAAAGGCCCAGGAAGGGCTTCCAAGCCTGAGAAATCCTCCAGTTCCAGAAGTCTAATGGGACTGTTTGCAGCTCCCAGTGCCTTGGCCCTGGCCGCAAAGTGTCAAGACGTCAGTGGAAGGCACCCCTGGAACCACACAGTCCCTCCTTCCTGCAAAACCAGGGGGCTGTCAGTGCAGGAAGTAAGTACAGCTGCCTTCAGTCTCCCTCCTATGGATGAAAAGCTGAGGGAGCTTCCAAGACGCTGCCGTGACTCACAAGGCAGGCGTTTCCAGAGCCTGCCCTGGCCCCGGGCCACACCACCTCTGGCCATGCCAAGTGCTGTTTGAAAGAAGTGGGACATTAGCTGGTATTTGGACATCATTTTAATAGATTTTTATCTGAGTAACATTTAATTTGTCATTCAGCAAAGCAGTGAGATGTTCATCACCATGCCGTGAAATTAAAAATTAGCTCTTTGGCCTCAAATTTTAGTAACATTCAGTCTTAGAGATTTTGCCTCCTCTTAGAATTTACGCAGATAAATCACGTCTTCCAAAGACCTCCATGATTCCATTTTGATATTCTAGAAACCAGTGACCTTGCATTTGATCAGTTTCTGACACACAAGGGGAGAGGGGGAGGGTATAGCTCAGTGGTAGAGAGCGTGCCTAGCATGCATGCATTAGGTCCTGGGTTCAATTCCCAGTACTTCTAACTAAATAAAGCTAATTACCCCACTTCATTAAAAAAAACTAAAAAAAGGAGGGGGGAGAGGTATTTCATCCACTACCTCGCAGAGCCGCAAACAGGGTCATTCTCAGAAGGCCGGGGGGCGGGGCCGGCTTAGCGCGGGCAACAGCCGTCAACTGAGGGATGAGGGCTGTGAGCGGAGGTGCCGGAGCAGCGACCCCACAAGGAGACGTCTGTCCTGGTTACCGGGCTCCCGCCAGCCTCAGCGTGGACGCAGAGGTGAGAGGTGCCGTGAACGACTTCTTCCTCCTACAGAGACTAACTCGCCAGCCCGGGCCTCAAGAAGAGTATTAATACGAGTACCAGATTCTGACAAGAGTCTGTAAAATCGTGTGCATTAACACACGAGGAGGGACATTTTCTGTGTTACCATTAACCCACAAAAAGCAGAAGATTCATGAGCCAGGGGAAAGTAAGGCACGTCTGAGATGAGAAAGATGAGGCAGTGGCCGCAGAGTGAGCTCCCCAGGCCTGGTTGGGAGACGGGAACGAGGAGCCAGGAGCTGGGGAGCGCACGGAGCTCCCACCTCCCAGGAAGCCCCCCTCAGCCCGGCCCCGGTCATCAGGGCAACTGAGGAACACGCTGTCCCCTAAAGAACCACAGTCTACTGAGAAGCACTGGGTGCTGTGCCCTTAAACATCTCAACAACTGTAAATAATTGTCACAGGCCCCTTGACGCCAGGTTAACCGCTGAGTCCTGCTTTGACCTTAAGGTGACTGAGAACGTTTGCCTCTGCTGACGGTGCTTCACTCCGAGCATACTTCAGAAGGAGCCCCTTTGCCCTCCTTTACACAAAGGAGAGTGACTAACTTTGCTTTCAGATGTGCAGGGTCAACTCAGCGGGCAGGTGGACCACTCCTCCAGACTGACTTGTTGGTTATCTACAGAGATTAAAAATGATGGTTTGGAGAAGAAAAAAAAAAAACAAGGAAAAGGAACAAACAGGTTTCCAGTGTCCTAAACCACAGCTCTGTGTGTGTCACTGGGAAAGGCCAGCATCCCGGGGCACACACTTACCCTCACCGCTTCTCCCGTCTGCCCAGAAGGCGGTAGGGAAAGGAGTTAAAAGGAGCTAAAGGCACACCGCAGCCTTAGAGAAGGGACACGGAATGAGGCCAATGGGAAGCAGCTGGGACAGGGCTTGTTTCCCAAGCAGACTGATTGTTCTGTCCTGTAGCGTGTGGGCCAGAAGTGAGTCGAATGCGTGTGTTGTTTTCAAATAAAACATCAAGTTTAGGCTCTACTACAGATTACATGATCAAAAGTTAGATTCTTAGTCAGAACTTTCTTTGTCGAAAGATTTATGAGGCTCAAGTTGACCTGGGGTAAAACAAGTTCCAAAACTAACATGAGAATGTGCAGTCTCTCCATTGAATGATTTTATGGTTTGCAAAGTTTGGATGTTCTCTCTGACCTCACAGCTCTGCTCTGTGGTAGGTGTTCTGTCCCTTCTACAAATAAGCAAGTGATGCTCAGACTTGGCCAAAATTAAACATCTGGGAGATGGCATCTTGGGCAATAAACGCCCCAAGTCTTCTAGGACCAGCACTCACGTTGCTACATGATGCGGAATTCCTGCCACCGTCCGTGGTGGCCAGTGCTGGTGCCTGATGGGCTTGTCTGAGCTCGAGGAGTCCCCGCAGAGCAGGGACCCAGAAAGGCACTGGCGACACGCAGAGAAGAGGCTCTGGGTCGGCTTTCACTGTTGTCGGTAACCTGCCCCTTTAGTGGACTAGTAAGATGTCAGTAATGTCTTTCCAGAGGTAGGTGAGTTTTGTTTGCAGGTTAGTCAGTCTTGGAACTTTTCCGTTTACATTGAGTCTCACTGGACCAAGACCAGCAACCTTGGGAAACCACCTTTCCTCGTTTAACTTGCTGGGTTGTCTTGATATTGGAGTTTGCTGGACTCAGCGACTTGACAGAAACCCCCTCTTGGAATTCACTATTTCTGATGTTTCTCTGAGGGAGTTTCCTGATAACAGGTGATACAGAGGATTTAAGAAAAGCTGCCAGATTTCTGGGGAGGTCCCAGGGGGGACCGTGTCCACCCATGTACACATACTGTCTGCAGAAACAAAACCTGCGTGTTAAAATAGACCTTTAAAGAATATAGGTTGGATTTCAAGATCTTCAGAAACCAAACAGAAGTGTTTTCTCTTTGGGGGGTGATAACGTTAGTTCTCAAATACCCTTTAAAGATCTTTCCTTTCTTGTGCTTTTCTTCTCTCTGTGATCAGTCACCAGACCTAAATGTCAGCCTGTCGTCCGGCTTCCAGCCGCCGCACCAGCCCCTGCACCAGCTGCCCAGGCTTCTGCTACTGGGTGACTAGCTGGTGCCTTCATCACCCAAGTCTTGGCTGAGTGATAAGCTCACTGCAGTTCACTGATCCCCTCTGGTTAGTTTATGGACAGAGTTCGCACAGTTAGAATCTGATCTGTCCACAGGTGATTTTCCGACTCTTAACAACAGAGCCCAGGCAAACAAGGATCTTCCTCCTCCTCAGTAAATCTGCAGGCAGGCTGGTGTCTTTCCGGCCTGTCCCGTTTTTCATTTCGTTGTGCACATTTCGGGGACAGGGAGTGCCCAGGGGGAAGAGTTTGATATTTGCATATTAAAATTGCACACACAACATGTTTCAAAGGAAGGATATAGCCATACTTAATGCAAAAAAATTTTTTTCAAACTTTGCTTTCTCAATGCTTTTTATAGTAAAAGGAATCAGAAACCACCCAAATCAGCACATTTTACACAGTTGTTGGCACTGCAGAAAAAGCTCATCTACCATAAACAATGTGATGTTACCAGATGCCCAGGACAGTAGCACGTTAGCTTTAAGGATGTATAGCCTTCTAGAAATCCAATTTTGAAATATGTTCTTAAAAAACTAAGACACGTCTTACGGATTTGACTTTTTACCACTAAAATTAATCAGTTCAGCTTTCCCGACTGGTAATGAAACGTAAGTTTTATTCTTTTTATTTCCCCCACCCCTCATAAATTTTATTCTTAAAAGACCAGTAACTAAAACTAACTACTGGTTTTCATTTAAGAACTCATCAATTGCTGCCTTTTTAAATTTTATAAACATATTATTAGCAGCCTCTACGTGTCTAGAACTTTGTTCCGATGCGTACTTTGCCCTGAAAGGAACATTCTTAATTCCTCATTGCCATCATCGAATTGAGATCTGTCCACGTGTGACCTACTTTTTCCTCTAGGATTACTAATACCATGCTGCTGGTTACAGGACAGCAGCTTATTTCATCCTTCAGGCTCATGGCCAGGGAAGAACTGGCAACTGCTGTAAACACTGACGTGGCCAGAACCAGACGTCTTACCTTTTATTTCAGCGACCCAAAAGCGATGAGAAGTAACAGATTTCTGCTCACGTAGCTCAGCTCCTTCATAATACAGATGGGGAAGCAGGGGCCCAAGCGGTTGAGTAACCAGCTGTGGCAGTGCCAGGACTGGAGCTCGATTCTAGAAAGTGAAGGGCTTGCGGTCCTGGCTTCCTGATTCTATTAATGCAAACAGTTCTCCTAAATTGTTGCTAAATATTGTAGAATACAGATTTTTTTTTGATTGAAGTACAGTCATTTATAGTGTGTCAGTTTCTAGTGTGCAGCACAATGTCCCAGTCACGCATATATATACATACATTCATTTTCATATTCTTTCATTAAAGGTTATTACACAATATTGAACATTGTTCCCTGTGCTATACAGAAGAAATCTGTTTTTTATCTATTTTTATATGTAATGGCCAACATTTGCAAATCTCAAACTCCCAAATTTATCCTTTCTCACCCCCTTCCCTGGTAACTGTAAGATTGATTACTATGTCTGCAAGTCTTTTTCTGTGTTGTAGATGTGTTCATTAGTGTCCTCTTTTCTTTTTTTTTAGATTCCACTTATAAGTGATATATGGTATTTTTCTCTCTCTTTCTGGCTTGCTTCACTTAGAATGATGATCTCTGGGCCCATCCATGTTGCTGCAAGTGGCATTATTTTATTCTCTATGGCTGAGTAGTATTCCATTGTATAAATATACCACAACTTCTTTATCATCTGTCGATGGCCATTTACGGTGTTTCCATGTCTCGGCTATTGTATGTAGTGCTGCTGTGAACACTGGGGTGCATGTATCTTTTCAAATTAGAGTTCCCTCCAGATATATGCTCAGAAGTGGGATGGCTGGATCATATGGTAAGTCTATTTTTAGTTTCTTGAGGAATCTCTATACTGTTTTCCATAGTGGCTGCACCAAACTACATTCCCACCAGCAGTATAGGAG